CGATGGGCCCCTTCGATTCCTTGGGGTGGTGCAGCAAAGGCAGGACTGGAGGGGGGGGCGGGTGGCCGGCGACTCGGCATCGACCCCACCAGCTGCCGCGCCTGCGTGCGCCCCCATCCCCCACGCATCGCCCACCCAGCCCCACTACACACATACTCACACATACAGACCTGCCCTGCCCTGCCACCACCACCCCCATAGCAGCCGCCAGGCCACCAGCAGGGACCAGCAGCAGCCGCCCCCCCCCGCACCTTGTCAAAGTATGTGGGCAGCCAGTTCATGACTACGTAGAAGGCGTAGTGGAAGGTGAAGTTGTTGACCACGATGGCCCACACTGCCGGGGGGCACGGGCATGTGCATGTGTGTGTGTGTGTGTGTGTGTGTGTGTGTGTGTGCACGCGCGCGCGTGCGCGCGTGTGTGCGTGTGTGTGTGTAAGCGCACAATAGCAAAGCCACTTTGGGGAAGGGCTGAAGAGGGGCAAAGGTGGGGAGCAGCGCATGGGGCGCAGGCAGGCAGGGCTGAACGGCATGGTGGGGAGCCGGCAGGCAAGCAGGGCGGGCAGCAGGCTGGGGGCCGCACCTGCCGGGTGCGCCAGCATGCTGCGCCAGGGCGTGCTGCCGGGCCGCCCCTTCTTGCTGTGCCCCTTGCCGCTGCTCTCCACGTCGACGTCGTGCAGGGGCATGGAGGCGGCGGCCGCCTGCCGCCGCACCCGCGCCAGCGTGGCCCGCCACAGCGCCAGCCAGCCCAGCCCCAGGCAGCCCACCAGGCGCAGCAGGGCGGCTGGGCCCAGCCGGGCGCCCAGGCTGGGCAGCACCAGCATGGCGGCGGCGGAGCCAAGGTACATGCCGCTGGTGGTGAGGCTGACGGCGCGGGCGCGCTCGGTGGGGGGGACCCACGCCGCCAGCACGGTGTGCACGGCAGGGATGAGGAAGCCCTGCGGGCGGCAGCGGCGCCAGGCGCCAGGTGTGAACATGCGGGCGCGCTGGCGTCATGCGGGGGGCCGGCGGCGGCGGCAGCAGCCCGCCAGGGGGAGGAAGGAAGCGCCGGGCGCACGGCCAGGGCCCGCGGGCACGCCGCCACCTGCGCGAGGCCCACGCAGATGCGGGCCGCCGCCACGGCGCGGGTGTTGGCGGCTGAGCCGGGGGTCAGCAGTGAGGCCAGGGACCAGAGCGCAAAGGAGGCGGTCAGCACTCGCTCGCCGCCAAACCGCTGCGCCGCCCAGCCGCCGGGGATCTGCAGCGCATGTGCGATGCAATGAGATGGGAGGAGTAGGGGAGGGGCGGTGGGCAGGGCACCCGGCACATGCTTACATGAAGGCTGCCTGCTCAGAGCCACGCCTGGCAAGTGTGGTTGTCACCGCGGCAGGATACCCAGCCCCACCCAGCCCCGCAGCAGCCACGAGGCACAGCTGCGCAGGTGCAGGGTGTCTTGCCTGCGAGATGCCGTAGCCCCAGTAGAACGCCGACAGCACTGTGCCCTTCACGCCCTCACCCACGCCCGCCTGCGCACAAGCAACAGCCATCAGAGGCGTGAGCATCACCCCACTCTCGACTCCCTGCTGCCCAGCGCCGCTCTAGCCATCATTTGACCGGCAATGGGGGGCTCATGGCGTGTCTGTCGGGCTGCCTGTGTGCCTGTCGAGCATCTGGCCTGCCTGTTGCTTCTGGCCTGCACCTGAGCCCCCGAGCCTTGCGCCGCCAACCGCCAGCGCGCCGACCCACCTCCTCTGCCATCGCTGTGAAGGCAATGGAGAAGCCCACGCGCTCCACATACGCCGTCAGGGTGGCCAGGAAGCATGCCAGCACCACCTGGAAGCGTGGCTGCAGCTGCTGAGCCAGCCTGCAGGCGAGCGCGGCGAGGCGAGGCGTGCGGCGGCGCGAGTCGGGTGGCGGCGGCGGGGTACCCAGCGGCGGCCCTCCCGCTGGCCACGACAAGGCTGCCACCAATACCTGCTGCGCAGCTTGCTATCATCGCTGCTGCCTGCATGGTGCTTGGCTGCACCTTGCCGATGCTCGTGTTGCGAGGAGGAGAACTGCCACACTCCATTGCCACCCCGGGGGCTGGCGACCCCGCGATGTGGCATTCAAAGCCGCCAGCTGTCCCAGCCACGGCCTGCTGCTGCCACTGGCCAATTTCGACGCGGGTGTTTGCTGCAAGAGTATGTAGTTGATATCAGAATGGGATGCGGAGATTGCGGAGGGCCCGCAGGAGGCGGTAGGGCGACTGAGCTGCTGCCAGCAATGACGCCACCCGCCACGCCAGCAGGGCGCGCAGCCGCCGCGGGAGCGGCCGCCGCGGGGGCGGACGCGACCGGCTGGGTGCATGATGCCATCCCCATCGAAAATTTCATGGCCATGAATGTTCTATGTGGAAAGCCAAAGAACATTTGCAAACGATGCAATTCTTCTGCAGGCGTGAGTTTGGCTGGGCTAGCGCCAAAACCAACGCCAGCTCGCAGCGCAGGCTGCTGCACCAACACAGCAAGATATAGCGATTCGCGCCCTACCGTTGCTGGCAGCACTGTTATCAAGCAAGGGGGCTCAGGAGCTGCCACTGCCACTGCCGCCGCTGCCGCCGCCCTCCTGCCGCCAGCGCCGGCGCCCACCCTCGCCCTGAGGCTGCAACCGGAGCACCCCCGCCCGCTCCGCAATGTGCATTGCAGCCTCCCATTCACCCGGATTGAGGTGCCCTGCCCGGGGCGCTTTGGCGGGCGTGGATTCGTGTGTCATCAGCAGGATTGCTAAACCCCATGCCTGGTCAGCTGGTGGACGGGAGGGATAAATGGGGCTCCCCAGCCCCTCCCAGGCATTCACTTTTCATTTGTGCCTCCCTCCCGGGCTGCCCCACCCCCCAGCCGCCTTCCGGACACACCCCACCCAGCAGCATGTCCAGCGACAGCATCGCCCTGCTGGCCCAGCGCCTGCAGGCCCTGCAGGAGGAGGGCATCAAAGTGAACCCGGCCACCGCCAACCCTGGTGAGCACCGACAGCGTGTTGCTGGCCGCTGCAAGTGCTTGACACAACCGGATGGGGTCACACACGTCCCCACCACTGTCGGGCACTGCCCAGCGTGCACAGCAGAGGGCAGAACACCTTGCAAGTGCTTCTTAGCAGCGGTGCAGCGACGTTGTGAGGCTGCCCCCCCATGTGCCGCCGCCCCGCCGCCAGCCGCTTACTAAGCACTCGCTGCCTCCCCCCCCCTTCCCCTCTCCCGCAGCTCCCCTGGGCCTGTATGGCTTTGCCCTCACCACCGCCCTGCTCCAGGGCCAGAAGACGGGCCTGACTGAGCCCACCACCGGGCAGCTGGCCATGGGCTTTGGCTTCTTCTTCGGCGGCCTGGCCCAGTTCTGCGCCGGCCTGCTGGAGTACCAGCGCCGCAACACATTTGGCACCGTGGCCTTCTGCTGGTGAGTGAGCCAGGCAGTCCTCCCTTGCGCACCGAACTGGGATCATGCCTGGCACGCTGGCACTTGCTTCCAGCTGCGCCCATTGGCAGGCATCCTCTGCTGTGCCCATCCCACTCCTTTCGACCCTGCTTCCCTCCCTCCCCTCCCATGCAGCTATGGCGCCTTCTGGATGTCGCTAGCCATCTACCAGACCCTGGTGGCCGCCGAAGTGTTTGCCCCCGTTCCTGTTGAGGGCGACCGCCTGATGCTGACCCTGTGGGGCATCCTGGTGAGTGACGGGGCTGCTGCGTCACACCAACGCGTGCTTGCTGCATGCTCCTCAGGCCGTTGGGAGCAGCTCAGCTGGTCGTGAGCTTAGGAACTGGTGCTAAACAGCCGGACCCTCGCTCCTCCTGACCTCCCCCCCCCTGCAGACCTTCCTGCTCTGGCTCTGCACCTTCCACACCAACGTCGTCACCTGCTGGCTCTTCTTCTCCCTCGCCATCCTCTTCTGGCTGCTGGCCGGCGGCGTGGGCCCCAGCGACGAGCGCGTGACCCTGACCAAGGTTGCTGGCGGCTGGGGCTTCATGGTGGCCGCCGTGGCATTCTACGATGGCACCGCGGCGCTGATGAAGGATGTGTACGGCAAGCAGATCCTGCCCGTGTTCCCGCTCAAGCCGGTGAACAAGGTCAGCCTGGGCGACTTTGGCACCAAGCGGTTTGTGGACCCCGAGGCCGGCAAGGCATAGCCAGCTGCTGTTTGAAAACCCAACGCATGTAGCTCCGCCTTTGCAGCACTTCAGTCTTCCCTCCTGTTTCCCCATTTGCTTTCTGCTCCGCTTCACCTTCCCTGCACACACTTGTCTCCAACGTGAAACCCAGGCGCATTGGCGTGCCTGCCCACTTGCCAATCAGCAATCTCTGCCACTTCTGCTGGGAGGCTGTAAAACCCGTGGCTTGGTGGACGAGACACAAGACGGGCTAAGTGGGGTTGATGTCAGGCTGCACTGGTGCCTGGGCCTCGTTCCTCTCCCAAAACCCGCAGCTCTCGCTGCAATACTTGTGCTGCTGGGGAGCCAGCCCTACCAGCAGCCCGCCGCTCCCCAGGTGGTGGATGCAGCTCTGGCACAGCTCGCTCCAGGAGGTGGTGCCTGCCTCCTGAGAGTTGTCGCTGCTGGTGCCGGCTGCGGCTGCGGCGGGGGTGTAGCCCATGTACAGCTGGCCCAGCTCCGTCAGGGCTCCAGTGTGCAGGTTCATCAGCGAGTTGCTGGTGCCTGCATCAGAGCAGGCGACTTCGCTTGGCAGAGCTGGTGGCAGCTTCCCACACAGGTTCGCATGCCCCTCTCCCCTCCTCTGCTGCCTTTGCTTACCAAGCCACCCCGACGTCTCCAGCGCAAACCAGGCATACTTCTCCACCCAGCCGTCGCGGTCCAGCAGCCCCAGGGCACGCACCTGCAGGAGGAAACGGGTGTGTCACCAGGGGTGGCTACTTGCGGCCGGGTCCAGCAGCAGTGGCGGGCACCCCAAGGCCGACGCCGAGTTCCCCGCACCATGTACTGCCAGCTGACCACATCTGTCCCGCCTGGGTTGGGGCACGCAAACTCCTTGAGCCAGATGGGGCGCTGGTACTTCCTGCAGACCGCAAGCCACGAGCACTTCACTTCGGGCGACAGTCCAGCACCAGCCGATAGCAGTGAGGCGTCAACTGCCCCTGTTCCCCATCAGCCGGTCCACCCACCACCTGGCACGACAGCGACGGACCTGCACTGTCTCAGGTATGTCGCCAGCCAGTCGGCGTTGCAGGAGTAGTAGTGAGTCACCAGGAAGTCGACGCGGCATCCGTCGCACCTGCAGGGGGGGCACCAGCAGCCAGGACTGCTGCATTACCTACCTAGCAGCCAGGAATTCCAACAGTTCGAACTGTTGTGGTGCGCACCCAGCCCGTCAAAGCACGCCGCTTCAGCGGTGCAGCCCAGCTGTCCACTTCCTCTCCCCAGGACCCGACCTCGTGAAGAATTCATCCCACCAATCAAACGGGCTGGGCGTGACGCACTGCGCTCCGCAGGGAGCGGCAGCGGGGGCGCCCAGGCGGAGGCCCAGCCGGTCTGCCACCTCCTCCAGCTGTGGCCACAGCTCCTGCAACACGGGCAGAGTGGACCGGTGGATCACAGTGGCTGGCGAGCAAACACACTTGGTCCTCAGCGCTTGCCTGCGGCCCCAACTCACCGCCGCCTCCTGTGGCGTCAGCGACGCCTGCAGCTGATGGTTGGGCTCGTTGAAGCTCAGCAGCACAGCGCTGCCAGGCTGGATGCGCGCCCCCAGGTCAGCGATACCCCCACGGCCCCACTGCACAGCAGGGGTCCAGAGCAGCGGGCAGGTGAGCAAGGGCGCACTTGGAAAACGTCGTCGCCGCACGAGCTTGCTCCGCCGCACCAACCTGCTCGGGGACGAAACGCATGCCCACAGCGGCTGCCGCCCTGGTTGTCTCAGGGTCTCGCACACTGGGTCCCCACTTGTACCACCAGGACAGTCCTGCCAACGTCCGGATGTGGGTGGCATTCAGGCCCCAGCCCACCCCCCGCTTCCTGAGGAACGGCGACACGCCGTCGGGCACGGCGCTGTCGCTCAGGTCGGCTGCTGCATCCCGTCGCACTGCCGCTGCTGCACATCCGTCCCAGCAGGCGGAAATGGACAGGAGCCACAGCGTAAGACCCCAAGGCCACCGCATGTCGTTGCGGTGCGGTCTGCTGGGGTGTCGGACGCCAGCACGGCCCTCCAAAGGGGCGCAAATAGGCTGGGATGGAGCTTTCTGGAGCGGCAGGCGCGGGTTTGGCTCTGGTGCCTTGGGCGCCAGCTCACCTGGCGCCAAGGCGGCACCTCCGCCGAGGTTCCGCAGGCAAAATCCAGATGCTCGCCAATCAAGCCGCGCCACTTCGCACTCATTCTAACCCCAGGTGCAGCAACCATATTATGGTAACATTTAGGTGGATACATGGGGGCAGGCAACATGCAATCATACATCGCCGTTGGTTCATTGGAGACAAAGTGTGCGAGGAGGGAGCAGAGCAGAAAGCAAATGGGGAAACAGGAGGGAAGACTGAAGTGCTGCAAAGGCGGAGCTACATGCGTTGGGTTTTCAAACAGCAGCTGGCTACGCCTTGCCGGCCTCGGGGTCCACAAACCGCTTGGTGCCAAAGTCGCCCAGGCTGACCTTGTTCACCGGCTTGAGCGGGAACACGGGCAGGATCTGCTTGCCGTACACATCCTTCATCAGCGCCGCGGTGCCATCGTAGAATGCCACGGCGGCCACCATGAAGCCCCAGCCGCCGGCAACCTTGGTCAGGGTCACGCGCTCGTCGCTGGGGCCCACGCCGCCGACCAGCAGCCAGAAGAGGATGGCGAGGGAGAAGAAGAGCCAGCAGGTGACGACGTTGGTGTGGAAGGTGCAGAGCCAGAGCAGGAAGGTCTGCAGGGGGGGGGAGGTCAGGAGGAGCGAGGGTCCGGCTGTTTAGCACCAGTTCCTAAGCTCACGACCAGCTGAGCTGCTCCCAACGGCCTGAGGAGCATGCAGCAAGCACGCGTTGGTGTGACGCAGCAGCCCCGTCACTCACCAGGATGCCCCACAGGGTCAGCATCAGGTGGTCGCCCTCAACAGGAACGGGGGCAAACACTTCGGCGGCCACCAGGGTCTGGTAGATGGCTAGCGACATCCAGAAGGCGCCATAGCTGCATGGGAGGGGAGGGAGGGAAGCAGGGTCGAAAGGAGTGGGATGGGCACAGCAGAGGATGCCTGCCAATGGGCGCAGCTGGAAGCAAGTGCCAGCGTGCCAGGCATGATCCCAGTTCGTGGTGCGCAAGGGAGGACTGCCTGGCTCACTCACCAGCAGAAGGCCACGGTGCCAAATGTGTTGCGGCGATGGTACTCCAGCAGGCCGGCGCAGAACTGGGCCAGGCCGCCGAAGAAGAAGCCAAAGCCCATGGCCAGCTGCCCGGTGGTGGGCTCAGTCAGGCCCGTCTTCTGGCCCTGGAGCAGGGCGGTGGTGAGGGCAAAGCCATACAGGCCCAGGGGAGCTGCGGGAGAGGGGAAGGGGGGGGGAGGCGGCGAGTGCTTAGTAAGCGGCTGGCGGCGGGGCGGCGGCACATGGGGGGGCAGCCTCACAACGTCGCTGCACCGCTGCTAAGAAGCACTTGCAAGGTGTTCTGCCCTCTGCTGTGCACGCTGGGCAGTGCCCGACAGTGGTGGGGACGTGTGTGACCCCATCCGGTTGTGTCAAGCACTTGCAGCGGCCAGCAACACGCTGTCGGTGCTCACCAGGGTTGGCGGTGGCCGGGTTCACTTTGATGCCCTCCTCCTGCAGGGCCTGCAGGCGCTGGGCCAGCAGGGCGATGCTGTCGCTGGACATGCTGCTGGGTGGGGTGTGTCCGGAAGGCGGCTGGGGGGTGGGGCAGCCCGGGAGGGAGGCACAAATGAAAAGTGAATGCCTGGGAGGGGCTGGGGAGCCCCATTTATCCCTCCCGTCCACCAGCTGACCAGGCATGGGGTTTAGCAATCCTGCTGATGACACATGAATCCACGCCCGCCAAAGCGCCCCGGGCAGGGCACCTCAATCCGGGTGAACGGGAGGCTGCAATGCACATTGCGGAGCGGGCGGGGGTGCTCCGGTTGCAGCCTCAGGGCGAGGGTGGGCGCCGGCGCTGGCGGCAGGAGGGCGGCGGCGGCGGCGGCAGTGACAAATGACGATGGGGGCTTGCCTTGCTTAATGCCACCTTGCTTAATGCCACGCTGCCAGAAATTGTAGGACGTGAATCACTGGGCCTTGCTTCTGTTGCAGTCGAGCAGCGCATTGCAGCCACGTGACCCGCACTGAACCGCGGCGCGCCGGCGCTGGTTGTTGGCGCTGGCGGCATCAGTTCGATCGGTTGGGGAAGCTCCACTGGCGCCTGTCTCCCAGTACCAGGCGATCGCATTAGCTGTAGCTGCCGAATTGCACTCAATGTACCTTACTGACGAAGGGCACTTGTGTACACGCTGGCAGCGGGCACTCAGTGACCGGCGGCCGCCGACTGGAAAGTTTGACTCTCGATTAATTTGCGCCTGGCCCCTCTTCGCAGTGCGCCTGTTCAAGGAGACCGAGGCCACTGTGCTTATCCTAGCTGCTAGCCGCTCACTGGCAGCGCGATCACACTCTCCCAAAATTCTCAGCCTCCGTGGCCAAAACAGACGCAGGCAGGTGCCACAGTTGCTGTGCATCTTGAGGCGAGCGAGGCAGCGACGGGAGAACATTTTCGCCTTCCCCGCCGCCGCTCCCGCCTCCCGTCAACCGCCCTGCTGCCGCCATCGGTCGCCGCCCGCCCGCTGCTGCAGGGCACCTCTCTTGATCAAATTGCAGCTGCACAGGAGGCACAGGGAGGCGAGATGCCGCAGTGGTTTGACAAACTCAAGACCAACCTGGGTCTGAACGAGGATGGGGAGGCGCAGCAGGAGCAGACGCTGCTGCAGCAGATGAATGAGGCTACCACGCTAGACCGTACGCAGGTGGGTGCTGGTCGTGGCAGTGTGGTGGAGACAGGACAGCAGACAGCCGCGGCGCTGGCTCACCCGGGCAGTCGAGTTGCGCGGGAGCCTCCCTTGAGCTGCCCAGCTGCTTCCCACCTCCTGCAGCGCGCCATCGGCTTCCTTACCTGCGTTGGCATCGGGCTGCTGCTGAGCTTCATGGTAGGGGCGGCAGGAGCTCATGCAAGGAGGGAGCATGCGGCAGGGCAGAGCGGCTCTGGAGCGTTGCGCTGCTTTTCTGCTCCATGCACTCCAGCCGCTTCTGCTGCCCGCTCAACCTCGGCTTGTGTTGGTCCAGCATTGCAGGCTCCCATGTTCATCTTCCGCCCCACCAAGTTTGCCATGATCTACAGCCTGGGCAACGTACTCAGCATGTGCAGGTACTGGGGGGCAGGGCGGGCAGGGGCGGGCGCTGTGCTGAGCACTGTGTGTACGAAGACAAGCTGCCTGCCTGCCTGCCTCGGCGCGTCCGCCCGCTGCTCCCATCCATCCTGGCCGCTGCACCCGCCTCTACCCCGTCCCCTCCCCGCAGCACCATGTTCCTGATGGGCCCCGCCACCCAGATGGCCCGCATGTTTGACTCCCGCCGCTGGATCTCCACAGCCGTCTACCTCACCTCCCTGGTCCTCACCATGGTCTCGGCCCTGGTCTTCCACTCGGTGAGGCACCGGCGCTGGCGGGGCACGGGGCACGGGGTGGAGCGGGTCAGATGCAGGAGTGGGGGCAGGCAGGCACCAGGGGCAGGGCTGCCAGCTTGCCGACGCCAGGCCACGTCCGCAGCGCCCCGCTGGCCCGGTAGACGGCACCCTGGAATCCCGCACCTAGGCAGCTCAGCTGCTGCGCTGATCTGGCTGCTGGGTCCTTTCCCCTCCAGGTCCTGCTGTGCATCGTGTTCATCGTCATCCAGTTCTGTGCCCTGGTGTGGTACGCCCTGAGCTACATCCCCTACGGCCAGGCCACACTGATGCGCCTGCTGGGCAGGGAGACGGCGGAAACGGGATGATGCGGCTCCCGTCTTTGCTCTGTCACCATGCAAAACTTCTGCTACACTGGCTCTGGTCCATTTCATTCATTGTAGAGGATGCTTTGGGCGGTCGGGAACGGCGGAAAGGAGACTAACACAGAAAGAATGTGGGTATGTGGGGGAGGAGTGCATGCGTGGTGAGCAAGGGGGCTTGTGTGTTCTTAGCAAGCAATAGGCGCGCGGCAAGGCAAGGGCCTCGGCATACAAAAGAAGCGGCGCAAACAGGCACGCAAGAAATACAAAACTGGGTTGGCCTGGGGACTGGGCATCAAATATCAATCTGCTGCAGCCGCTGTGGCCGCAGCGCAAGCTGGGTGGGGTGGCCCGCCATCAAGGATGCGTATCGTGGGGCGTGTGTGACGAATATGTCAGGGCTGGGCCTAGGTGAGCGCCTTTGGATCCGCCTCCTGCAGCGCCCGCTGCACATCCGCCACGCACCGCCGGTACTCGTCGGTCTGGCCAAACCGCGGGTGCCGCTCGCGGGCCGCCAGCAGGCACTCCATGGCTGCTCGGTAGTGAGCCAGCCGCAGCAGCGCCTCCACCTGTGGAGCAGCAGGAGGGAGGAGGGAGGGAGATTAGCAGCAGCAGCCCAGCACAGATCGGCAGCCAGGCAGGCTCAGGCAGGCAGCTGGGCAGGGCAACCGGGCAGGCCAGCTGGCGGAGGCGCGAGCGTGGAGCCAGACCTGGCGGATGGTCGCCGTCGTGAAGTCAGGAGGGGCGCACTCGGCGGCTGCGTTGGCATCCTGCAGCGCCCCCTCTGCGTCCCCCAGCTCCAGCCGCACCCCGCTGCGGTTGGACAACAGCAGGTGGCGCCCCGCTGGCGCCTGCACGGCAGCGCACCGCAGCGGCTCGGCTGGGGCTGCTGCAGGCAGCATGAGCTGCGCAGAGCCGCAGCACCCCGCAGAGACCTGTGCAGTTGCTGCTGTCCGCTGGGGTCAGGAGGCGCGCCGGCCAGGGCTCTGCCAGCCAGGGCCCCCCACCCGTGCCCTCCCACCTGCAGCTCGATGCCCCGGGTGTACAGCTGCGCCGCGCGCTGCAGGTCGCCGCCCCTCGCCGCCGCGTTGCCCGCCAGCCGCAGCTCGGTGGCTTTCAGCAGCGCCGCATCCACCTGTGGGACCAACAAAAGCTTGAGGGCAGCAAATCACTGGGCCGCAGCTCAGCCTGGGTGGGGTCCCAGGCACCCGCCCTTCTTCCCAACATTTTCACCCAAAGCACACACACACCAACCTGCCCACACCACCACCACACCTGCTGCTGGCACACATCGTGCAGCAGGTCGGCCATGCGCTGCGGCGTGCCGACGTGGCGCAGCAGCAGCGGCTGGGTGCCGTCCAGCGGGATGACGGCCACGTTGGGCCCGCTGCCACACCCGCCTGCGGTGGCGGCGCAGGAGCAGGAACGAGCGCAGTGTGGCCCTTTGCCACAGAGCAGGCGTGCAAAGGTGGGGCTGCGGGTGTGGACACTCACTTAGGCAGCCGCAGGTCTGCACCTCCACATCCTGGAGCCCCAGATCCTTGCCAAACTGCGCTATCTGCATCGACTAGCAGGCCACCAGCAGAAACTCATGGACGGACGGTGGCGGCGGGAGGCGAACGCATGGCGGGCGCCGCTAATGCCAAAGCCGGGCGGGAGGCGGGCGCACCTGGGGCGAGCCCTGCTTCTTGCACACCTTCCCGGTGCAGACTCGAAGCTGAAAGCCGGTTGCGGAGCACACCGCCATGGCGGCTGTGCCCCCAACTCCACCCCGTCCGCTGCCTGCCTTAACGAGGCTTGTACAGACGGTAGGCGGGTAAAGGTGAGTGGCGCAGTTGCAAGGTCTCTCGCGCCTCGCTGTCACCGCACGCAGCACGAGAGAGTCAAAATTCGGCTGGGGGCACAGCACATCAATCCAAGCTCAGTCCATATCCGCATACGGCCTGCATAGTGTGAGAAGAGAGAGGGAGCGGACAAAGCTCGCATTGCTGCTCAGTCTTCAAAGCTCATGGTGCGCCCAGGGAAGACGAAGAGAGGCTGGGGGTCGCGGGCAGCGCCCACAGCCACCGCCAGCCATAGACAGCAGCAGCAGGATGGGCCGCCGGCCACACGCGTCTCCAAGGCGGGCGCCGGCGGCAGGAGACGCGCTGCACCACCGCCTGCCACTCTGGCGGAGCGCTTTGCGCTGCTGGAGCACCAGCGCAAGCAGCTGCCCAAGAAGGCAGGTGGCCTGGGTGTGACGGGCAGCAAGGTGGAGAAGAAGCGGCGGCTGCGCAACAAGGACAAGCGGGGCAGTGGCAAGGTGTGTTGAGTGTAGCGTGGAGCGGCGTGCTTGGCTGTGCTGTCTGTCACTGCAAGCTGCATGCTTTTCCTGCCACAGCGACATGCTTTAGACCCAGCACCTCCGACCAGCTGTGCCGCTGTTTTTCGCATTCCCGGCTGCAGGCAAAGCCGCTGGCAGATGGCAAGCACTCCCACAGCGGTGCCGGCTCAGACCAGCAGAAGAAGAAGCGGCGGAGGCGCAGCGGCGGGCGTAGCAGGCAGCAGGCCATGGACACACAGTGACTTGGTGTGCCGGCTCCTCAGTCCGCTCTCTCTTTCCCGCTCCATAGATAGTAGCCACAGGCATACATTTTGTGTTAAGCATGTATACTTATAAAGATGGAAGGCATTTCAAACACAGCGAGTTGTAATCAATAGATAAGCAAAAATAGTACCTTCTTCTGCGCTAGCCTTTCAGGACCAGCCGAAACACAGCCACGGCCGCACTGCGCCGTCGCCCTGCCTTCAGTCGTGCAGCCACGACAGGTAGCTGCTGCCCCTGGCGCCCTCCTTGGGCGACACCATGGGCGAGGCGCCAGAGGCCAGCTCAACCTCCACCAGCGAGGCACGGCGGTGCAGCGGGCGCTGCGGGTCAGCTGCCCCGCTGCCAACCCCGGCGGGCAGCCAGACCGCGGTGCTGCCGCCGGCCCCCCCATCCTGGCTGCTGCTGCCGCTGCCGCTGGCCACGTCGATCACGGTGGCGCCTCCCCACTGCACGCGCCGCGCGCCCGGCGGCGCCTGCCCGCTATTGCCGTCAGTGGCGGTGGAGGAGGCGGTGAGCGAGATGAGGCTGCCGACACCGTTCACCGCCTTGGCCCCGCCGCCGCTGCCGCCGCCCTCGCCAGCCACATCGCTCGCCCCTGTCATCTCGCCAAACTCGTCCCCCAGCGCCGCCGCTACTGCCGCCACGTCAGAGACCGCCGGCGCCAGGTGGACCGCCAGCTCAGCGGCGCCCCCCGCGGGCATGTTCTGCATGCGCACCAGCTCCGTCACCTCAAAGTTGCGCACCAGCAGCTCCCGCACGTTGCGCTCGATGGTGGCGCCGATGGCCTCCAGCGGCAGGATGCTGCGGCGGCAGCACGGGGGCAGGGGGGCGGGCAGCGGGAGTGGGGGCGGGATCCACCTGTGGCCTGTGGGAGGCTGGCGGGCACCTCAGCGCTGATGAGCAGCGCTGGCACGGACACCACCACACAGAACCACCCAGCAGCAACACCCTGGCTTCTCGCACGCCAAATGCCAGGCTGTATAAGTAGCCGCCACCCACCCAAACGGCTCCTCGATCTGCACCCCGATCTCGTCGATGCCAAACATGAGGAAGGCAAAGATGCCGGAGAGCAGGATGGAGAACCAGGAGTAGGCGGCCCACAGCGTGAAGGGCAGCAGGATGAGCCACACCAGGCTGCGGGCAGGGGGCACACAGGGGGAAGGGGCAGAGGCGGCAGTTGAAGGCAGAGGTCGGTCTTGATGAGGCACAGACCTGGTCAAGAGGCCCTGCCAATGCCTCCACCTCAACGCACCAGCAGCGCTTGCATCCCTGCCAGGCTGGCGGGGCAGCACGCCCTGCTCACAGGAAGCGCGAGGTGTGGCGGGTGTAGGAGAGGGGGATGGGGGTGCGCAGGATGCGCTCGCAGGAGCCCATGGCGTCCTCGAAGAAGGTCAGGTTGTCGTCCATGCGCATGCGGCACAGCTCGTTGGGGCGCGCAGCGCGCACCGTCTCCGCCATCACCTGCGGGGAGAAGCTCAGGGCAGGGTGCGCGCGTTGGCGGCAGTGTGTGGGTCGTCTGTGTTTGTATATGTGGTGGTGGTGGTGTGTGCACATTTATGTGCATGGTGACGAGGGCTCTTGGTGCCGCTGGCAACGCGCGTGGGCAGGCAGGCACAGGCTGTTCTCACCTGGAGCACAAAGTTGGGGCGGTGCGCCGCGGCGCACATCACCGCCACCTCGTGCGCCGTCAAGATGTGCTGCAGGGGGAGGCGGGTGGGTGGGCGAGCGCCGGCTGCCATCCGCTGCATCCTCTCGCCCTGCCCCACTGGACAGCTGCACCCTCCCAGCCACGCCCCACTCTCACACATGCGCACACTAGCGCACACAGGACCGCCCGTGCCACGCCGCCGCCGCCACCACTCACCGCCACCTCCTTGCCCACGTCCATGTCCTCCCGCAGGTGGCACATGAGCACCCGCGGGAAGGCCATGGTCCAGCGGGCCAGCAGCTCCTTCAGGTGGGCATCCTCGTCGCGGAAGAACACCAGGCCCTGCGCTGGGGCGGGGCAGCCGGCAGCTCAGTTCCAGCCCGGGCAGGCTGTGGCGGCGGCATGGTTGTTCAGAGTGGGGGAGCAGTGCCGGCAGGGCAGGGCGCGTGGGTGTGGGCCTGCCGCCACAGCTGCACTCGCCACCCCAGCTGCATGCCCGGCGTCACCGTGGCGCCGTGACGCCCCACCTGCCGCACAATGTCTCGGCAGCGGTTGACCACGCCCCCCCACAGCTTGCGCGCCTCCCACCAGCGGTCGTAGGAGGAGTTGGTGCGGAAGACGAGCAGCAGGGAGAGGGCAAAGGCGGTGAGGTTGAAGCCCTGGCCCAGCGCCAGCGTCACGTGCGGCCAGTGCCCCGGCAGCGCGCCCGCCTGCGCAAGGGACAGCCGTGCCACAGGCGGGGCTGGTCAGGTCGGCGTCTCAGGGAGGCGCTCGGCCAGCGGGCATGCTGCCGTGCGCAGCAGCAGGTCAGCCGACGGCAGCCGCCGCCTGTCCAGCCACTCACGCCGACCAGCGTCTCGTACACGCCCACCGCCAGCGCGATGGTCATCACCGCCAGCACGGGGCCCAGCAGCTGGCGGAAGACGCGGGATGTGAACATGTGGGCCAGATGCTTGGCATACCGCATGCTGTTGCGGTGCTTGTTCCACCGCTCAAACGTGAACACCTGGTCCCCAGACTGCGGTTGGCGGGGTGGTGGGGCAGGGAGAACAACGTGCAGCAGGTGGCTGGGTGGCGGGTGTGACGGAAGGGAGGCAGGCGGGCACGCCGGCAGCGGCCGGCTGTGCGCCGCCGCCGGGGTGGTGAACAGCGCGAGGCGGAAATGCAAGGAACGGAATGCTGCAGGCGGCGCGGCGCCTGCGGCTTCTCACGTGCTGCTTGATGCGGTATATTTCGTTCTCGTCCTTGTCCATGCCATCGTTGTCCTCCATGAAGCGCACAAAGGGGGCCTGCTGCGCCAGGTGGGCCAGCTTGGCCCGCGCCACCCCTGGCAGCCGCGCCAGGCTGGTCAGAGAGTTGCTGCGGCTGTGCAGCGCAGCACTGTCGGGGTCGGTGTACAGCCGCTGGTCCTCGGAGGACGGCATAGTGGTGGGCTATGGGCTGCACGCGGCCGGCTTGTCCAAGCGCGGTTCGCCGGTCAAAGTGGCAGCAGCGGCGGGGCGCTCCAGGGCCGTCAGGAGCCTGCGCGGGTGTCGAATGCTCCTTCTGACTGTGCTGCAACCTCCCGGGGCAGGTCAGAGTGTGTGTTGTTGGGTCAGCGTGCGGTGCAAGGGTGTCGCACTGGGCTGGGGCTATTGTCAATGGACGCGCGAGCCCTGCATGAATGATTGGAGATCAAAGATGAGCGAAATGGAGCCGAGTCTTCGGAAGAATGCCGCCGTGGCGCCCTCTTGGCTTTGGCAGCATCGCCCATCCGCATCATTACGTTGCCAAGGCATTGTCCTTGGTGTTGTTGTGAGCAGCACACTTGCACAGGGCGCACAGACAAGGACCGAACCTGCAGACACAACCCAACACGGCCCCTTGCACAGCATGTCATCAGCAGCGGCAGATCAGCCCGTGGAGCAGATGGAGACGGACAGCGTGCAGCCAGGAATACAGGACCCCGCCAAGCCATACACCTTGTGAGTTTCTGGCTCGTCTCCAGGTCGCAGAATGACGTGCGAGAGTGCCGGCAATCAATGCATTCGGTTGCCGGCCTGCCGGCAATCTCAGCCCGCCGCCGCCGCCGCTGCCGCCGTCCCTGCCGAGCAGCACGGGGCGGGTGACGTATGCGACTGAGGAGGATGCCACCATGGTCATGAGAGCACTGGCGGTAGACCCAGAGGTGGGTGGGCCTTTGCAGGGTGCACGGCACGTGCTGGATATGGTAGCATGGGAAAACCGCCCTGCGGCCGTCCCCAACCCGAGCCGTGACCGCCGTCTCATGCCGCATTGCTGCTCGTCCCCTCGCCCCGCTCTGCAGCTGCGGCCCCAGGCAGTGAGGCGGAAGCTGAGCGTGGATGGCGCCACGCTGGTGCTCAACTTTGCGGCGATCGACATGCGCACGCTGCGGGCGGCGGTGGGCACCTTCTGCGACCTGCTGGGCCTGGCCACCCGCACACTGGAGGCCTTTGGCCCGGCAGCAGCGGCAGCAGCAGCAGAGGCTGAACCGTCAGCAGCGACGGAGGCAGCAGCGGGGACAGCAGCTGAAGGGCTGAAGCAGCAGCAACAACAATAGCAGCAGATGCGTTGGTTGCTGCCTCTGCTGGCGGCCCCTGCTCTATCTGTTGCCACTGTTTCCATTCCTCTGTTGTTCTCACTTCTGCTGCACCGACTGTCTGCAGCCACGCTGTGCACACTGCATGTTACACATCCATGCCATCCAAACCAACAGATGTTATCCAAAGGAAGCCTTGCGGCTGGGGCTTCAGTTGGTGGACACACTTGTGTTGTTGAGCAGCCCTGCAGCGACGCAGGGACGGCGAGGTTGGTTCTGACAGCAAGCGGGAGGGCATGGCTGCGCCCCAGCAGCAGGATGCATTGACGTACCGCGCCCATCGCAGCCAGGCAGGCAGCCCTCACCCTTCCCAAAGTACTCTGCCACCAGGCCAAAGCCGTCTGGCGCGGTGCGCAGCTGCTTGAAGAAGGAGTCCTTGTCGGCGGCGCTGGCCCGGTTGCTGCGCCGCAGCTCCTGCGCCTTGCGGTGCTCCCCCGCGCACAGCGGGCACACCGGGTCGCCGTCGCCCAGGGTGCGCAGGTTGTAGCTGTGGCCGCACAGGAAGTGCACTGCGGGGAGCGGGGCGGGCAGCGGGGTGGGGAAAAGATCAGTTGCGACGGGGGTGGTTAAAAAACGGCAGCGCAGCGTGCCGCTGTGGGTGCCACTGCTGCTGTTGCTGCTGCTGCTGCCGTGGCGTCGGCTGACCAGGACGGGCAGCAGCAGCAGCAGCAGGAGGAGGAGCAGCAGCAGCAGCAGCAGCGGCGGCAGCGCCCCACCCGAGGGCAGCTCCAGCGGCGCGTTTGTCTGGGAGTCGCGGCTGCTCTGGAACACCATGGGCTCGCCCTGCAGCCGCTCCACAGCCAGTCGCGTCCGCTCTATCTCCGACTTCAGCCGCTCCGCCTCCTCCTGGTCGGACCGGATGCTCCTGCAGGCCAGCAGGTGTGGGTTGGGTGGGTTTGGGGGGGGGGGCAGGTGGGCTCCGCAGGCACGCTGGGGGCGTGCCTCTTCCTGCGCCTGCGCCTGCTGCCTGTCCCCCGCCGCCTGCCAGCGCACGCGCCTGTTGTCTGCCTGCAGCTGGCGCGTGACGTAGTCCTTGACCAGGGACAGATTGAAGGCCGGGTTGCGGCTCAGCACCTGCAGCACCACCAGCGGCGGCAGGATGCCGCCCGCCTCGATGCGAGCCAGCAGCTCCTGGACCTGCGGGGAGGAGGGGATGAACGCGTGGGAGCGTGGTGCGAGACGGAGCGAGCGAGCGTGTGCTGCAATGGTGGGAATGAGTCACACTTTGATGATAATGATTGTAGACAATGGCTGTGTGGCTGGTTTTAAGAAACGGGCAGGATGGTGCAGGCATGCGTGGCCATCCCAGGGTGGCGCCGTGCAGCCCGGCTTGCCCTCCCTCCCTCCCTCCCTCCCCAGCCCCCACCTGCGCGCTGCAGTCGGTGGGCTGGCTGGCAAAGTAGTCTAGGGCGTCGTGCCACAGCTGCGGGTCGCCGCCTGCATGGTGGGGTCCGAAACGCAGGTGGGGCACACGCCACAGCAAAAAGGCGCCGGGACAGGGGAAGCCTGGCCTGGCTGGGGCGGCAGCAATAGTAATCTGCCCAGCCAACATCTGGAGGCCAGCACAACAGGTAGGTACCGATACACGCCGCCCCGGACGGCCCAGCCCAGCGCACAGCGGCGCCGCCCGCCCACCCGTGCGCGCGTCGCCAAAGCGCTCGCAGGCGGCGATGATGCCAGCGTGGTCCCCGGCATCCATCAGTACCGCGGCAGCCTCGCGGTACAACCGCAGGTTCTGCGGGGGGCGGCGGCAGGGAAGGCAGGGGTCAGGCAGGGGCAGGCAGGGGCTAGCGCTGGGTTGCTGGCGGCCGGCGCCCACGTGCCCGCCCGCCGCACGCCCCGCCCCTCCGCCGCCCGTGTCAAGCCATGCCCTTCACGCCAACCAGGCGCTCTCTCCTCCTCGCCCTCCCCTTCCCCTCACCACATCCACTGCACCCCGCCCCACCCCCATCCCCTTCCCCTCACCACATCCACTGCACCCCGCCCCCACCCCCACGCCCCACACCTCGTAAAGGAACAGCAGGCCGGGGCGGAAGGCACGCATGCGGCAGGCAACCAGCGCATAGTTGACGTCGTAGGCCGCCTCCTCGCCTGGCGGCCACCCGCGCCTGAAGGAGAGCAGGGGACAGAGCGGGGCGGGGCGTGAGAGGAGGGAGGGAGGGAGGGTGCACGGCGAGCGGCGGGCATGCAGGTGCGGCAGGCACGGGCAAGCAAGCCAAGGCGGGCGCTCGGCGCTCTCACTTGAGCAAGTCGAGCGCTTCATGCTGCCTGCTGGTGCTGCCCCCGCTTCTCCCCGCCGCCGCCGCCGCCTCGGCCGCCGCGGCCGCTCTTCCCGTCGCTGCCTGCTGCGCAGCGCCGGCGCCGGCGCCGGCGGGCGGCTGGGCGTCACCGCCGGCGCCGGCCGCCGCATTATCTGCTGCGGCGGCTGAGCTGCTGCTGCCTGGGGCGTCGGCTGCAGCGGCGGCGGCAACGGAGCTGGGTGTGGCGGGGGAGAGGTAGAGGTCTAGCAGTGTGTGGTACAGGGTCTGGCGGGAGGGGGAGTCGGGGTTCATGTTGAGGATTGTGACGCAGGCGTACTGCAGGTCCTCGGGCCTGCGGTACAGGTGCGGTACAGGTGGCAGTGGCCGTACGGGTGAGCACAAGCGGTGCAGCAGGTGGGCAGCTGGGGCAGGCGTAACGCAGCTCCTGCTCTCGCCCCACCCACCACCCTCCACTGCCTCCAGCCGCCCCCACCCCACACCTACACACCCCACACCCACCCACCTGTCTGCATACAGGTGCGTAAAGTCGGCCATGTTGGCGGCATAGGCGGCCGGGTCTGCCGGGTCCCGCAGGCACAGCTCCATCAGCAGCGCGGTCGCCTCCACAGGCACATGCACCAGCAGGGCCTGCGGGTGTGGGGTGGGGCAGGGCGGGAGGGAGGGGTGGGCGGCGCGGAGACGGGGCACGCTGGTGGCGGGGGTTCTCTGCTGCCGCTGCTGCTCATGGAAGGGGCGGTGGTCGGGACACAGACAGAGGTACACAGCGGCGGAAACATGTGTTGCCGTGTTCATCCGAAGCAAGCACCAGCGGACACAGCGACAGCAGCAGCAGACCGGCGGAAGCAGCGGGGCACCAGCAGGGCACCGCCCCATGACCGCCCTGCCCGCACCAGCCACCCCATGCCAGCCAACCGGCAGCCCCACCTTGCCGTACTTCTGCAGCGCCGCCGCCGCCTCCCTCCTGCTGAGCCCCTTGATGAATTCCAGGCCCTCGCCAAACCTGTGGCAGTGGCAGATTGGGGAGGGCAGGAGGGGGCGGTCGGCAGGAGGCAGCCCAGTGGCGCGGTACCAGGGCATCAGGGCATGGTACCGCTCGCACGCCAGGCAGCCACACAGGAGAGAGCTGCCCCACCTGGCGCAGTCCTCCAGCAGGATGTCCAGGTAGGTGTGCGGCTCGCCCGCCGCCAGCGCCACATACAGGGCGTGTTCGTAGTAGCCAGCGGAGCGGCACACCTGCACACACAAGAGAGGGCAGCGGGCACAGCGCGCACAGCGTGTGTACATGCGGGGAATGTGGGGGCCGCGCCTGCCAGCAGTGCAGCAGGGGCAGCCGGCAGCACGGTGCGTGGCGGCGGGGTTGGTGGAGTGGGGTGTGGGGGGCAGCGCCGGGACTGGGCGCAGCGCTCTCCCTCTCTCGGTCGCTCTCTGTCTCGACCCCACCCACACACCCCCTCTCTCTCCCTCTCCCTCCCTCGCCCACCTTGATCGCTGTGTCCACATCAAAGTGCAGCGAGTCTGGCGTCATGGAGCCGTCCCCCTGTATGAACGCATCCAGCTTGGCCACATCCTTGAGCTTGGTGAAGCAGTTGAGCAGCAGGGTGGTGTGGTCGGAGGAGGCGGCGCCCTGCGGGGGGGGCGGCACGTGTGGGTGCGGGTGCGGGTGTGCTGGGGGGAGGTGCTGGTGGTGTTCAGAGGGGACGGGCAAGCAGTGTGGGTGTGGTCTCACAGCACGGCTCCGACCGCCCATCACCGCCCCCCCACGCGCTCCCAGACTCCCCGTCTCGCCCCGCCCACAGTACCGCCATGCCCAGCTGCCGACCACACACACGCAGCACCACCCCTACACCAACACACACCACCCCACACCCCTGCAACCCCACACCACCCCACCGCCCCCCACCTGCGCGTGCAGCCGCTCCAGGTAGTCTGTCAGGCCGTGGATGCGCTGCACGTCCAGGAAGCGCTGGATGACGTAGGAGGGCTCCAGGTGGCCGATGGTGAGCGTGTACCTGCACAGGCGGGTGGGTGGGGAGGGGAGGAGGAGGCGGGAGTGGGCGGGTGGGCACGGCTGGTGCAGGCAGCTAGGTGCGAGGCAGCTAGGGGCATGGCCGAGAGGCACGGCTGCAGGACGGCAGTGCCAGCTGGGCGGCGCAGGGCCGAGGGACGGCGAGGCTAGCTTCCTGCAAGCGGCGGCAGCGCTAGAGGGCGGCAGAGCTAGGGCGCGGCCTGGCGGAGGCGGAGGCGCTCACTGCTCCATGGCCTGGTCGTAGTCCCGCTTGGCGTACAGGAAATCGGCGTACTGGCGGCGGATGCCCGCCAGGGTGCCCGCATCCACCTGAGCGGGCCGGGCGGGGTGGCCGGTTGGTTGGCGGGGTGGGGTGGTAGGCAGGGGGGCGGGGAGGTAGGTGGGTGGTTAGGCAAGCGGTGGGTGGGCGGCGGGACAGACGGATGGGAGGGGTGGATGCGGGGCGGCAGTGGCAGCCGGAGCTGCTGGCCAGACGGCGGCACGGGAGGGGCTCGAGACCGCCACGCCCCTCCACGCCCTTTCAGCTGCCGCCGCCGCCGCACCTGCTCCGTCTCCGCCACCGCCGCCGCCAGCTGGTACGCCCGGCTCTTGTACATCGCCTCCAGCTTTTCGCCAAAGGGCTTCTCAGCCAGCCGCGTCACGCCGCCGCTGGCATCGGCTGCGGGGCGGGCGGCCAGCAGAAGGTGTGTGTGTGTGTGTGTTTTAAGCCTTGCTGCTGAGCAGCGCCTTGCCAGTGAGCCGTCAGATTGCCAGGCAGCCGGCACCGACAGCATGTCGGGAGCAGCAGCGCGCGGCGCACCAATGTCGATGCAGCCGGGGGCGGCGTGGGTGGCGACCCACTGCACCGGGGGTGCCACGGGGGCGGAGGCGGCCACCACCTTGTTGTGCAGGTCATACACCTGCACACATGTGTGACATGGCATGGGGGGGTGCGCTCTGCCTCCCTCATTGGCTAGCCTCCCTCGTCGCTCCACCCTAACCGAGGGACGGCGCAGAAAACTGGGCCGTGCAGCAACTTGGGGCAGGCACCACCTGCCCACTTCCTTCTTGCCAGCACACCACAGCACGCAGCCGCCCACCTGAGCGACCGCCGCCTGCGCGCCCGCCGCCGAGCCGCTCCCGCCGCCCGCCGTGTCGTCCGCCAGCACCACCACCAGGTAGTGGCGGGCGGCGGCCACCGCCAGCTTCTCGCCCCGCACAGCAAAGGCCGCCTTGCGGCCCTCCTCGACTGCAGCCCAGCGGGTGGCGGCGGCGGCGTCGCTGC